TTGTGTTTAACAAAGTTACTATTTTTCTTCCGACTACTACGAATTATAGTTATTTTTATTTTATATTTTGCATTTTGCATACAGAATGGTGTGACTGCACTGCAAATGGCGTGCGCACAGGGCTGTAGAGGAATTGTGGAGCATTTGCTCGAGTTCGGTGCCGACGTTCATTTGCAAAATAATGTGAGTGGAATGACCAGAAAATTCTAGTATAATTTACATTGAGATAAAACTGTTTATTGATAACTCCGTCAGGTCGGGTCATCGGCACTGCACGCGGCGTGCGCGGCCGACGCGGCGGATATTGTGGAGTTGCTGTTAGCACATGGCGCTGACCCCGCCTTAACTGATAAGGTACCTTGCCATTCTACTATTTCGGTACAATTCTTTTAGGTCTTGTACCTATATTTTTCTTGCTCAAGGCAAATCAAATGTAGTAAAATCACTTGGTCAAAACAGAGAATATTAGAATTAACACTTATCTAAGAGAGGCTTAGCACGCCAAACTAAAATATAACGCGATCTAAATAAAGTACAAAAAATGTTTTTAAGTTTTAGTTTATATTGTATTCTCTTCTAATTAAAAAATTTTATCGATTTGACAAAACAAAAACAGAACTAGGGGACACCCGGGTTTGAACCGGGGACCTCTCGATCTGCAGTCGAATGCTCTACCACTGAGCTATATCCCCGTGTGATGGCTTGCTTGAAACTTCTTATCAAAAACTAAACTTGAATGGAGTTACTATTTTCTTAGTACAAAAATAAAAAAATAAACAGATCGTACGGGAAGAAAGTGGATAAGGACAATCCAATTCTCAAAATATAAACCAACGTGTAAAAAATTTAACTGTTCCAGCTCAATTTTAACAAACAATAAAAATTTTAGTGGGAATCTTTTCAGAAAAGCTTTTGGAAATCAAAGGGGAAAGAAAATGTGAAGTACAAAATTTTTTTATTTCCATCATACTTCATACTTATGGATGGATGTTTGTTAGGGTTTGTAGTTTGTAGCCTAAACGGCTGAACGTATTTCCATGAAATTTGATATGGATGGAGGGGATAGTCTGGAAGAACACATAGGCTACTCGCTTTTGTTTTTTTTTAATTTCACGCGGACGGAGTCGCGGGCGAAAGCTAGTTCTTTTTATTTTTATAAGCGATTTTTAAAAGGATTCATCATTTTTTCATTCAACAAACAATAAATAAAAAAGTACTTCCCCACAAACATTGTTTTGCAATGGACATTCCTTAAATGTTACCAGGGCGACATATGAACATGAGAGCGGCTGTGTATTGCAAATCGCCAAGTGACGTCACTCAATTGTTTTGATACGTGAATGGCATACATACATTTTATTTATAACAATATTGTATCTCTCAATGATTTTATACTGCAGTAAATTCATATGAGTTAATAATTATGCCATATCATGAACGGAAGTTGAGTGTACACTGACAGGGTTGCCAATTCGATTCGAATTCTTCGAGTTCACGCGTATTCAGGTTTGAAATAAAACGCTGGTTTGCTGGCCGATGGGTTTATTATCGTTCACTTTGCGGCAGCCCTACAGAGGACCGGTTTGATGAAATTTGCATGAGGAGGCGTAGGCTGGGTTTATGCATTATTGACTAACGCACTTCCAGCCACAGCCTAACATGTTGATGTCTTGTTTGTTCCGCTTTTAGCAATATACAAGCGCAAAATAAGCAAAACGCTTATTGTGTAATTTGAATAACTACGAAATGTGAAAATGTTTTTGTCTAAATTTCATTTTATTATTCGCGAATAAGTTGTTTTTTTTTAACGGAAATGTAATACGTTACCTAAAACTCCAAAATTCATTTTATATTTTCATGAACCGTTTTAGAAGTTTAAAATGTATGAGCGGAACCTCGCTCTTACAAATTACGGTGACCTCATTACTGCGCCTGGGTAATTAATGATCTGACGGTTAAGCAACGTTTTATTGAAATGGAACCTATTCAGCTATGGTACCTTAGTACATTAGGTTATTAAATATATTATTTTTACGTTATTAATTAAGAAATAATTTAATTTTGTCTCAGCTGATAAGCTAATTACGGAGAATTTACTAAAATTGTTCAAAAAATAATAAAAACATTAGGGAAATTAGAAGCATTTATTTAACGTTGATCTTTTTGCTTGGAAATTACTTGGTACGTTCTAGGAAGGAACACTTCTGTCGCTTCTGTTTATTTATATTCATTAAAAATATATTAAAAACAGTACACCGGTACACCGGTAAAGGTAGGCCTAGAAAGAGATGAATGGATTGAAAACTTAAATGACGGAAGATAGATTAACCTGAGATAAGATAAAGACGGGGAGTTGATAATATTTAAAAACATTACAATTGCAGTGGTCGCAGTCACCGGTGAGTGTGGCAGGCGGCGCGGGAGGCGCGGCGGAGTCCCCGCCGGAGGGGTTCCGGCGTGCAGCGCGGGGCTCCTTCTCTGCTATCCTGGACCTCATCACTGCCACTGCTAACGTTGATATACATCAAGTAACTTCATTTTTTTGTAAGAGAAGGGTAAAAACGAGGGAACACCAAGGTTGTTCATCGACGCCCATGGACATCCGCAATCTAGAGGCACTGCAAATGTGTTTACGATCTTTGAGAAAGCGATAGACTCGGTTCTTGAAGCAACAAAAATGACGCCCAAATTTCAAGCAAATTTTGATTTTTTTTTATTTACTATTTCGGGTTAGTGAAAATTAAAATCTTTATCTATTTCTCACAAATTCAAATTAAGTTAACTCAGGACAAACCAACAGAGTCGTGGCCTTTACTATATTCATTGTAAAGTTTTCCTTTATCGTGTCAGGAACATTTCAATAAAGAAAATAACTTTGAGAAAGTCCTATGCAAACATCGAACACAAATTGCCTTTCACCCTGTATTTGAGTGACCCTCGATACTAAAAGGACGCAAATTAACGCTAGTTTCAATAGTTTAAGTATTTAACATTACGACATATAACATTTCATTGTATAGATTAAAATTATAGATTTGGATTACTGGAACATTTGTCAATACCGTTATCCATATACAAATCTGTTTGCGTAGTTCGTTAGTGGAGTGAACAGCTTGTTATAACACAAGTAAACATTCATTTAACTCGCATTGCGCTCGCCTTTTTAGACACAAATCCCTTTATTTGTGTCGACTGGCGAGGTAATCCCCAACTGTACTCTCCAGAGAGCGTTGAGCAATATTTAAGCCTTCATTCACGTTATATAATTAGTTATATTTGACACAAATTAAACAAATATAAGGTTATAAATTACTGCATTGAGTTCTAACATTATTCACACTAACAATTAAGGTTCTGTTGTTCCTGGTAGATAGTAACTGCTATTTACTAGATGTTTCCAACATGTTTAAGATTGGAATGAGAGATTGCATCTGGCCATCTCACCTGGTAACTTTGCAAAAATCATTTACTCGACGTTCTTACGGCGAACGAAGACATCGTGATGCAACCTACACATATCAACGTAGAAATTCAAAGAAACTGTGAAGTCAACCAACCCGCACTTGGCCAGCGTGGTTGACTTAGTCATCCCTAACTTTTAGGGTAGGCTCAAAGACCCTCGGTTGGGACGTATAATAAGCTAGTGATGATGATGACGATGATGATTATTTTATAAGAATTATTTTAGTCACAAAGTTTCTGCAACATTTATTGACATCGTTCTAAATTCTTGGTTAACTTGAATTATACGCTTACGCTTTCAGTTGGCAACTAAGCCGCGCTTGCAAGATTAACTTGTTATAAATGTATCGCGCTAAATTACCTGCGAAAAACGATTAAAATTTTAATAAGTCATGTATTTTAATCTTCTTTCATAAACGTATTAGCCTATTTTCAGCAAGCGTACAATAGTACGGTAGAGAGGAAATCGATGTTGGTAGCCGGATATTAGCAATACTATCGCATAGCGTACATATGTTGTGTGGTAATTATGAAGGAATATACAACAAACATCACTGTTCAAAATCGATTAACACGTTCATTGTCACAACCTCGATATCCATACTTTAATCGTAGAGGCAAAAAGTAAAAAAGTGTTTTAGAACTATAGGAGTAAAAATATATACATTATATCCTAGTAACTAAAATAATTAAAAATTATTATTTCATTCTTGTTACTTAAAAATACTTTCATGTTACAAGTAATAACAGCGAAACGCTGTGTAGCGAAAGCATGGCTAACTTTCAACAAGTTTGCTTCGAAGTTACAAAGTCTATCAACGTCGCTCCGTGTTACAAGAGTACAGTTTATCTTTCTTTCTTTAAGCGGAGATGTAAAATTAATAAAAACTTATAAAACCCAACTTATATTACGTTGTTATAAAAATATATTTAGCTTTTTTGATAAAGGGACGTTTTTTCACACCTTCCAATAGTATAGTTATAAAAATCATGCTTGCTAATTTATATTAAGAATTTCAGAGTAATTCTTTGTATCCAACTTTTCACTGCCCACATATTAACAATATCGTTGACAGTAACATTTATTATCAGTACAAAAGATTAAAAAGATTATAATGGCATATTTTTCATCAGGATCACTCCGAAGACTCCACATCATCTCGTGTTGACGAGAAATCCGGCGGTCATTCTCCCGCTCCTAGCGAAGGTATCGTATCAAGACAGACTATGAATCTTTATAAAACACTTTCGTTCCTAACTAGGACCAGAAAACTGATATGACATGTAATTTTACTATGTAGTTAAAGAACTGATGGACTATTTATTTCATAGAAAAGTTATGTTTGATTACATTATTTCTATAGGTACGGAAGGCGACGAAAGGTGATGGTCGGCCACAACTCTCCTCGATAGACTTGCACAACGCGGCTTCGCTGCTGACACACGCTTGGCTTTACCACCCACTGGTAACACTAATTGGATTTTAATTTAAAGATTTATAACAGATGAAATCGATCGCATTTAACTTGTAAACTGAATAAGTTCAGTGTGGACAATCACTTAAGTTAAACTTACTGCTACACGCAGCAGTTCTAAGTGTATTATACTCTCATACAGAAATCCACTCACGTCGTCTTATTTTAGGTTGCGCTCGCTACAGGGAGTTATGTTATCGTGCGGCCCAAGCGCACTTACCTGACGAGGTACCACCGCGGCCGTGTGAATGCGTGAACTGCACTTCACGGCGCAACTCCTGCGAACCCTGATATCAGCTAAAGATTCAGCCTTCACGACCAACGCCCTCGATATTACCATTACTTGAATAGATTCAACTTACAGGTTTCAAATAAGAATGTGTGATCACACATAATCTTATTTGAAATACTTTTTTTATGCTTTATATCTCTGGCAGTGCCATCTTACGATGGACATCTTAATTATATCCAAAAATACGTTTTAGTGCTTTGTGGTTGATTGGTGACCTTGCATAGGTTCTTTGATTCTACTGTAATTTTACATTTTGTCGTATACAAGCTTATTTATAAGATAATTCAATGTTTGATGTTTTAAATATGTAAGTATGCTTCTTTGATGTGCCATCTATAGTTAAAAGTATGGTACAACCTGACCAGAAATATAAAACGTCTCACCATATTGCGGACAAACATGGAATTAATTTCGGATAGGTGTTCTATATTTCTGTTCAGGTTGTATGTTTGATCTTTGGTCCGATTATTTTACAAAAACTAGTGATTGTCTTCGAAAACTCCCCATTTTTTTAGATAGGAAATTAAAAACATATGCAATTTTTATCATATTCTCTTCCTGGATCAAACTTTTGCAGTGCCTTACCTTTACGATATACAATATTCCTCTCGTGCACAAACCTAAACGCACAGCAACAATTATAGCATCCAAATTACATCAATTCTCCAATCCTGTACAAATATTTTTATTGTTATTTAAGATAAAAGTGTCAAATTAAAATTGTCTGTCCATTGGTATAAAATTTTAGACAATTATCTTAACAGCCTAGGTAAACGTATAAGTAGAAATAATTGTAAAATGAGACTTTACACAATTTATTAAGACCAATCGTTGCTACAGAAGAATTTATCGTAAAAACTTATCTAACCACTAATTATCGTTATATTTAAAATAATGTCAACGTAACTTACAAATGTATTGCTAGTCTATGGAACTTTTATTAATCTATGGTTAGACATTTTTAACTGTTTAGCTACAAATTTTATCGCTTAGAGCCTAATAAAACTAGATATATCTAGATTAAATTTAAGTATTTCTTTCCTATTTATAATATTTCATCTTTGTGCATCTTTGAATTTAATATTCATTTGGTAATATGTTACGTACGTCCCTGCGTACATTTGTAATGCTAAAACTATGTATAAATTATATTTATTACATAAGAGATCTTATTAATTTTATTTCTTATCCAACTTCAGTTAATTTATTTGTAGAATTAAACATAATAACCAACGTCTAATCTCATTATATTAATGAGAGAAAAATACTCAAAAATACCGTAAAATTATTAAAAAAAATACACCGACATTGACTAAACTAGTAATTAATATTTTTATAAATTAAAAAGACTAGATTAAGTTTTCGAGGACGGGGACGCGGGAGGCGACGCTTAAATTTAAATAAAACTTAAATTTATTAGTTACATTTATTTTAATGAACAAAAAGAAATCAAATGTGAACATTGTGATTGGATAGAGCATGCCGCAAAACTGTCGAATTCCAAGATGAAGTAGGAAAAGTAATTTATGATGCTCGAAGGACCAATATATTATTGTTTAACTTTACCTCACAGAATGCAATCAAAATTTTGGATTAACCTGACATGCGGCAAATATATCATATCCATCGTTATCCACAATTCAAAAAATATACGTAACTTGAACGTGCTTCTAGCACTCTCTTAATTTGTCATAAATGCAAATGCTTAAAACTATTTTGATGGACAAACTTGCAGAAGTCATAATCTCATTATCATTAATTTACAATTACATTGGGCATTTTATCAAGAACAGCTATGAGGTTTTTGCGGGTTAAGACTAAATCGAAGAAAATTAAAAATACAAATCAGTTCCTTTACAACACCCTAAATGAATATACCAAAACGTTTAAACATATTTTTGAAGTGTCTACATTACCAAACTAGTTCCAATAATCCTTTCATTTGAAATACATCTTTTGAGTTACGATTTTTTTTTGACTGGTAGCAAACCTATGGTTTAACTTCTGGACCAATGAATACACCGGTTAAGAAACCGGGCTACAATCGAGTGTTGAAGGTAGAAGCAAAATTAACGACTAAATTTGTCGGGATTTAGTTCACTAGTGTGCCGTAAAGGGAAAAACTAGAACGCCTATGTGTGTGTATCTTGCTAACTGTAATACGAATATAAAAAACTATCAAATAGTTGTTGAAATGACCGTCATAGCTTTAATTTTGTTATGGACTTTAGTAGAAAAAATGTACCTAATGTACGTAATAAAATACGTTTATAATTTTTAAAAATAGAATCGCAAGAAATCTTACACTATGTCATGTGGTTTAACCAAACTAGTCAAGGAACTATAATGATCGGTAAAATGAGGGTAGATATAAAAATAAATGTATTGTACAAATCTGAATCTTGCATACGTTTGATACAACTATAAATTTCAGTTTCCAAAGCCATTGAAACCGTCAATCATCCAAATAGAAAGAAAATCATCTAAAAGAAAAATCTATTATACTAACTTATATCTGGGCACGGTCTTATAAGATTTGAGATATTTCTCTTCCAAACATCTTTTGAATTCCTCGTCATCGCGTGCAAATTATAAAACTTCCAAAAAACACCAATAGTAAAGATCTCTTAAAAAACTCGCGCCCAGTAAAAATCATTTACAAACTCAATGATTAAGCGAATACAAAAACTATAATACAAATATTGATATGTCGGTTCTTTACAAGTTGCGCCTGTCAATGTCATTACCGCTAAAGTTAAAAAGTACAGATAGAAAATTAACATCGTACCGTGACAGGATTAAAGAGAACCGAAAACGTTGTAATCAAAAATACCATAGTGGTAGGGGGATGGTTAACTACGTCAGTGGTTAGCGCCGGTAGGGGTGGTAGGAGGGCGTGGAGGCCGCACCCCCCGACGATCCATGGTAGCTGCGCTTCGACGACCGCTGGTACCCGTCTCCGGAGCCGCCGGTATATTCATAGTCATCACCTATACCCACAATTTAACATTACACACGAAAACATTAAAATTATATAAAGCAATTGATTTAAAGCTTGTATAAGGGTAAAAAACTTACCGCACCACACGCCACTTCGTATAGCAAACATTTTTTATATTATCTATGATAGAACCTTTTTTAGAAACGCCAGCGCCGTGGAAGATTTTTTTAGTGCGTATAACTAAATAACTGACCGCCAACCTTCGCTAGTAGGAGAGGCATCTTAAGAACTAAATCTATTTTTTATCTTTACAGTCTAATTTTTCGATGGTACTTTTAACATTAGATGCGTATTAATCTAGCGTTCTCTTGATGTCTAAATTTCTGGTAATCTAAATATTATGATTTTGTCTAATATAAAAGGTTTTTGAAAAATATCTGTTATAAACGACATTTACAGGATCATAGATCCTCTTAAAATCTCGTCATTTCTGATATCTCTTCAAGTTAATGGTGAATATAACCTGTGAATATATCCAACATGCCGCCAATACAACATTGTTCAACTGCGCGTTACTTGCAGAAACAATTGGACTCAACATTGTTATCCAGATAACTGACTAATCATAATTGTGGAAAATCTACTTATTGTGATATGATGATGTTATTATAAAATGAATAAAAGTTAGAATGGAAATGTAATAAAATCTATATGAAATTGATGAAAAAACTATGAGCTATTACTCTATCAAGCGGATTACCTAACGATTACTACTTTTGAGGGTACTTTATAAAATATTTTAGAACCTGAGGCCGAGGCGGACATATCGGACACGTTACAGAACGACGGCTGCGGCGACACCATGCCGCAATACATTAACGGTACCTGCTGCAAAATCATTTTTAAAAATCTCACTTTATTCATTTCTATCTAGTAACTACAAAGTATTTACAACCTATCTACCTTATTGATGCCTAAACGTCTAGGATATATTTACCCTAGATTTATATTTCGTTATTATAGTAAAAAAATAGGTAAGAACACTAGATCCCATTAACTTTCCTTAGTGTAATCTAGAATTGCTGCAGTTACAAGTTTATATTCTATCTATATTGTGTAAAAGTAAATAAAATGAATAAAGCAAGTAAAATTCTTTTATGTATTTAACCTGTGGGGGCGCAGAGATGGCCTCGTTCATCTGGGGTATCTGTGCGTATTTTGGACTGCCGGCGTTGCTGCCTACACCATCACCCTCTAATGCAAGGATTGAAGTTATAAGCTTTGAATTAATTACTAAAGTGTTGACCTACAATTGACCTATCAACCTACACAAAGTTTATATTGAGCTATTAGTGATGCACTTTGGTCCTTTGAGCCAGATTTCACATATTGAACTTTCGATGCCGTCGACTCTTACCATTGTAGGTAGTCTTTGATCACTTGACACGCAGTGGATCATGTCTCCAGAATTAAATTGCGCCATACAAGCTTTTAACTTTACTACTACTTAATTCTGATGACGAAATTTCGAAAAAAGGCAAAATAGATCAAATGAAGGGAATCTAAATGAGAAAACATCTAAAGGAACAGGTGATAATTCCTAGAAAGTAGTATTTGAATATTGCATCCTCTGTTCATTGTATGGACTTTATCAAGCTAAATTAATAGGTAGGTATTCGTAGCAACATTAAATTGTTATAATCTTTAACCCGACAAGATAATTTGGCATTAACTATTTTTCTAATAAAAAGCGTTGTTCAACAGAAACTTTACATGTTGTTACGAAAGCCACTTTAATATGAGGAAAATATAGTTAGTAAATAGTGGCAACACTTTACCAAGGGGTGTATATCACATGCAAGTTGGGAGTGAATAGTGTTAAAATGTATTGTGCAGAGTGAACATAATAATTGGAAACGGCTTGGTTTCTTTGTAATTATTTGGTAAGACTATTATTTGGGATTCTTGATATGGAATGTGTACTTTATGTATGCGAACTTATAAAAACAAAAATTATGATATCCAGTTAGAAGTAAAATTAATTATCCTAAGGGGGAGGATGGGGATAGGCGAACATTAAAAAGCCAGTTATATTTTGAAACTTTGATTTCTTTTAATTACCTACGTTTTATCATGTCCTTATAGTAGATATATATTTCATCATAAGATATCTCAAATATTTGCAGTGGTAATATTAATATTTTAATTAATCAACCAGTAGTATTACTTAAACCTTTAAAATAGAAGAAGCTTAATAATAGGAAACTACTACAAAACTGTTTTATTTTTTTTTTCATTACAATTACAAACTACATACTTAATGTTATCTGTTATAAACTAACACTAATATATACCCAAAATACCTAATATGAATAATGCATAATTTCTACTTCGAAAAACCTTAGTGTTCTGTGATAGCACTTTTAAATTATTACATCGAATACTCTTTGCGTACAAGCTTCTCGTCTTAATATTTTATTAGTGCTCCGGTTAAAATTAATAATTAAAACCGTAATTAACTAATTATCATTAGGTAATCGTAAAAAAAGAATCAACAAGGACGTCCGAGTAAGTCTATCATAATTTTCCTTTTTATATAACGAACATAAAGTAAAAAGGGGCGTGGCCGCGCCGGCTGGAGGCGTGCCGCGGTCGTGCGCGGTCGTGCGCGTTCGGGAGCGTTCGGGCGCCGTCGGGCGCGGGGCTCGGCAGCCGGCGCGGCGGCGCGCCCGCGCTACGCACTCATTAGGGCTAAGTATAGTAGTTACACATTACAAGATTACAACAAATCTAGATAATAGTCTTACAATCGTATTATACTTAGTTTGTGGCTCGGTCGCGGTCGCCGCTTCCAATTAATTACATTTTAGGAAATTAATACAAGTCTGTTATAAATATATAGCCCACTAGCGGGCGTAAAGTAAAACTTATATACTGTCGTAAATAACCATTATGTTAAATATTGTACATCAGTCGATAGTTCACCTAATCAATTTTGTAATCTAATCGATCGAGAATTATGTACTTTAATCCACTATAATGAAAAAAATATAGTTTAAAAATAATCAACATCAAAATTTTAATTAAAACAGAAATAAATAACAACTTGCCCTAGTTTTAATGTTATCATTAATCGTACAGCCGTGCAATTTTAATTTACGATATAGTCTGCTCAATAATTACATTAATATTATAAATAGCTCTAGTATAAATATGAGGATTTATATTAATAATACCTGCATTGTTTTAAAATAACTTTAGAATCACTAGAGTAGAGTAGAGTAGGGTCGGGTCGAGTGGCGGCTGCAGTGGCGGCTGCAGCGTCGGCCGCGGCAGTGTAAATGCGGTCGCGTTCCGAGTGCGATGCGACACAACTTAAACTTCTGCTAACCTAACGTTAACACTAGGGGGCTCGTATAATATAATTAGTCAATTACGATTATAAGTAAGTATATTTAATGTATAACGCGCACGCCGGACTCCGCGCGTGTGCCATATCAAATACCAAAATACACTTTTACACAAAAAACATGTCGCTACTGAATAAACATACACATATAAAAACCGCGTACACTATATAATGCGATACAAACAAGAGTCGAAAGGTTAACTACACAACAGTACTACTGTTAAGCCATGATTAAAATATTATTCCATAAACATTATATTATATTAAGAATACAGTATGTGTATATCTTATGTCGCACGTTACGGGCGTAACGTCAAATGCAGAGGATGCAAGGCGAGGGCGGGGCGAGGCGGGGCGCGGGCGGGCCGGGCGCGTTCGCCGCACATTTGACAGACAGCCTCTAACGAGTCTTACCGTATTTGTATTTTGCTAACTATTTTAATTAATAAATTCTTCCAATATTTTATGCTTTTCTCCTATATAATAATAAAAAACCCATATAAATAGTCTCAATCGATTTTTTTTCACAATAATTTGCACTAAGTTTAATGTTTGAGTAAATCTAAAATTTCTAATACATATACTTTATTTTAAATAAATTATATTCTTTATGTTTACTTAGAAGATTGCCACGATGGTTCATTACAAACTAAGTTCTTAAAATTGTTCCGAAGTTTCGCGAGTGAGGGGCTTCGGCCCGTGTCTAACCACCTTACTGCTAATTCAATATCACTGAAAATAACATAATATAAATCATCTCTATATTCACTTAACTTTTTGTAAGGCATCGTTTCCTAATATTAAACGGTCACGAGCGGCGTCGTGCCGCGGTCGGTGGTTGTACATTAACCTACGGCGAGGAAATTATAACCCAAAGAGATGGAAACGATACAGAGCGAAGAGAACGCGGGGCGTGGCCGCGGCGAGCTGCGCGCTGCAGGGCGCTGCAGGGCGCGGCCGGCGAGGAATGAATCGACACGAAATAAACCTAACTAAAATAGGAACGAACAGATTAAGTTAAATAAAAATAAAGCGGAACAAAGCGGGAGTAACTACATACGTAACCTAGAGGTCGGTTTTGCACCGACGTTTATCTTTAATATTATTTCAATTATTCGTTATATAAGGTACAAGTTACAATTTGCTACATAACATTCTCGTCTCAGTCGTTTTAGTAATTAATATACAGAGCTATCAGAAATGTATCAATATCCGCGTTATCTATGAACATCACATCGTAAAGGCATTTTAGTTATTTCCTCACTATTATTTTAGCTTTAATTTGGGCAGCCGCACCCGCCGCGTCGGTGCGCGTCGCTTACAATCTGCTTATTCACCTCACGTAGTTAAATTATACTTTACTTATGGTGCGATCTTACATAACCCTATTCTATACGATCAAATTATGCACTTGCAATGTAATCATCAACAATTCTATTTTAAAAAACGTTTATAACAAACCTTATCGAGCGCCCGCGGGCGCGCCTAGACGTTTTCACGTAAACTCTAAGATAATTACAACAAATAACGCGCGGCCGTCGCCGGGGCACGCCCGATCTCTCTCCCGCTAATAATTACTTAGCTTATCACTAAAATTTTAATCAGTCGATCGGTCAAATGATTGAGCGATATAGTACAGTAAAGGACTAACATTAAATTTAATCTAACAATGTTATTTAAATTATAATTCACTTTGCTGCGGGAGAAGAGGGCGCGCGCCGGCGCCGGCCGGAGCCACGAGGCCTCTGCGCCGACAGCTCGGAAGCTCTATACAGTTTACAACATATTTGGCAATCCGCATAAATTAAAAACTTTAAAACTATGTGACGAGAGAATCGATTAAAATTATGCTTTACACACAAGTAAGTATATGTACAGGCGACCGCGCGGGGGTGCGGCGGCGTCTCCGCAATATAACCTAAGTCATTGAGCGTAGTCACTTAACACTTACCGTTTGCTCATATTATTATTTGCCTGGTTAGTTTATAATTATTTTTAAAAATCAATTATCGACTTAAAAACACTGCAATACAAAACTAAAAAATCCATAGACGAAAAATTAAAATTACGAATATTTATTTATACAGAATTGCTCCCTTTTTAGAAATTAAAAAATTACGGTAAAAATATTATATAAAAATCACGTTCAGTCATACTATGTTTTGTTTAAATATTAACACATAATTATTCTCATTACATCGCTACGATTTTTCCTAAGTCTAGTGGGTGGTAAATAACCAAAATTCTAATATTAAACATACATATCGATATATATACCAAATATTTATACAAGTCATTAGCTTAAGTTAACTTGTTTTAGGTCATTTTTCCTAAATTGGCTTTTTAAACAGTTACTGTCAAATGTGCGCGGAAGCGTGAGACAAGAGCGCTTCGGACGCGCTCCGTCGCGGCGGCCGCCCGCCGGCCCGGCCGGACCTCACTTAAATATTATTAAAAGAAATCATCAAACTTCCAAAGAACAAACAAATTCAAGATTAGGTAAGAGTAAAAATATAAAAGGGTTAAGAGCCCACATCCAAAAAGTAGTAATAAGAAAAGACAATACGATCATCAGGATCAAAAGAGAGGGGGCCGCGAGAACTTGGGGAAGAATATCAGACAACGCAAAGTCGCTCAGCCCACGAGAGAAACATAATGTGAACACATCGATTGACTCCTATCGCCGAGGCCTATCATTAACCGGTTAGTTGACGCGAGTTTCATCTTAAAACTTATTTTTAAATATATTTTAAAATATTCATTAAAAACAACACCTTACTTTACGCGTGTGGGTTTGTGTTAATGTAGTTATAGGGCGCTTATTTTTCTTCAATACATACTATATAATATTAACTTATTAAAATGCAATTTTAACTCTAAGAATTATACATTTCTCTATATTGCATTGTATAAAACCCTCTTATATTTTGAAATATGCTTAGATAAACATGATAATATTAATGTTGTTTTTATGTATGTTGATAATATACTTGTATATAATTTGTATAGATTTTGGAGGATCGAGTACATCAACTAACATCGGTCTTGTCAATATTCCATATGCAGGTCAGTTAGCGTGGTCTTCCAGGACCACATTCATCGAACACTCGCCATTCGTTAAACACTATGCCGCGAATTTTATAATTAACGTCAAAAAAAAAGTGTTGAAACCGATTGGTATTAAGTCTATAGTTGCCTGCAGAATTTACTAGGCGTAGCTTTAGAATCTATAGAAAAACTAAGTAAGTAAGTGGTATATTTTGGAACTCGAAAATTTGCTACTTGGTAAAGCTACGCCATTGCAACTAACCTTTATTTTGCAATAATAATCAACACTTTCCTATTACTAAAACACTTGTATGTGCATATCTTTACATTTTAACCTGAATCAATATGAGTCATATCACGTTATATTGAATGTTGTACCACGTGATATCGTACTAGAGTAGTCGTGTATCACGTAATAACAGAACACATATCACGAAATATGTCTTGTATCACGTAATACTAGGGTATTTTCGCGTGATAGCAGACTATGTTAATGTACTGGAGTCAATCAGATTTTTATTATTTTTATTATTGAAACTGGATATCTGGAGATATATTAGAAGTGTTGATGATAAAAGCACGATTACCCGATGGGCCTGGGGCGCCATGAAAGTATTATTATTGTTGCTAGTTCAATCAGTTTCAACGATTAGCGACCGACAATAGTCGCAGGTCGTCAGTCGCGGACATTGGGTGTGCGGCATAGCTAACGATTCCTCCACGTGACTACCGACACGTAACGAGACACAAATAGTGTGGAATTCTGAGCGCACAGGGGAGCGGACATCGAGGCCGGGAACGGGAGCACCGGTCGGGGCAACATTAAGGGGTTGCTCATCGCGGGGCGCACGTCCGCGGGTCTGTATGCCTGTCGGGGCGCGGTCGCGGGTCTGTATAGTTGTAGCTGTTGTCCAGTGGTGGTGTTTGTGTCATCAGTGTCGACGTGTGTGTCGACACGCGTGTCGGTGTCGGCGGCGAGTGCCGGTGCGAGTGGCGATTACGCGGCGTTCCACTCCTTGTTAAAGTCCTGCGCGGCGAAGTGTTTGGGCGCGTGGTGCGGCACGGCGTGCACACCTGGCGGCTGCGCGCCGCCCGCCGCGCCGTGGTACTCGCCGCCGTACGTCCGCGACCCGCCGTACGAAGACCCCTGACGTTACCCCACCCGGCTCATTAGTACGCCCCACAATATTACAATATTTCGATAACAACATCTGCTGTTGTCCGAATTATACTAGTGATGGAATATTTAAAGACAATAAAATATATTGCATGTACTTGTGTAAAGTAAACATTAAATTCTTTGAACAACAGCAATGTTTTCATTTATCGAAATTATGATTGCGTTCATTTGGGAACGCGTGTCGACGAGCCGGCCGAAGCCTCGAGGTGACCACGCGATCGTCAGAGGCTACGTTATAGGCGAGAATGACTAACTGACTACGGGTAAGCTTAACAGGGTAAACTAAAACACTAGGGGATTATGGTCTACATTTATGGATGGATATTAAGTATAAAATGAACGGGTCTGAATGCTGAATGCACAAGCTCTGCAGCGTGGAGCGGCCGCTGAGATAACGTAGCCTCGGGCGAGGCTCGCTGTTACAATGAAGTGCGCGGCCGAGGCTCCGGCGTCGGCGCGTTTGCGGACGTCATGAGGGATCGAAATGAGGCCACGCTTTGTATGTCAATATGCATTTAATATGTCATAATAATAATGTTATCGTAATAGAAGGCCGCATTCGACGATGCCCCATGATGTTTTAACACAGTTTTGCTCCTAAGCATAATATGATCTCTCGTTACATTCGACAGAATTATGAATTTCGTCTGAACACTTAAAGTACAGCTCTCTTAACATTATTTATTTTTTATCGTTAACATTAACTATTAATGAACCTGTAACAATACGAGAAAAATCCAAATTTTACTAATTTGTACTTTAAATGCCAATTTACATGTGTTGAGATGATACAAGGCGATTGAATCATCTCGCACGGCTACAAAAATAAAATGCAATATGAATATTGTGAACTAAATGTAAGCTTAACAACTAGAGCGGTGCGATGCCTTTTAGGTAGAGCCGCGCGACCGTCGCGATAACCGAACCGTCCATAGTGAGAAATCCCCAGAGTTTCGCGACATGCCCTCATCCGAACCCTTATCTCTAATTGTCTTTCTGGAGGAGCCACTCTTGTGGACCCTGATCGACCAACTGGAAAAGAAGAATTACAAGACATCAAGTCCCACTCGCCACAATGCACCTGTCTCAGGCAGTTATGTAAGTAGCGCAGCGCGTGAACAATGGACCGGGCGAAAGCAATGTAATTAACCCCAAGGGCGGGATGATGGCTCGGGCAAGGGAGGTAGGTAAGGTGGGCGGGGGAGGCGGGGGAGGCGGGGGAGGCGGCGATGAGAGACCTTCAGCGAAAGTTGACAAGTTTGTTAATCTTCTTGATTTTTCACTATGGATAGCGGTGCGGTGAGCTATTGCCTCGAGAGTGCCGGCTCGCGGTCGCATTAGCGGGGGACTTAGCGAATACCGTTCGCATTACGAACCGCAGCATAGCTGGTAAAATCAAAAAGACATCGCACGTTTTATCTCGCCACTGAAAGCATGCAGATGACGATGTCTTCGATATCGAAAGCGTTTCATAGTATCTCAAACGGCACACGTTAGCACTAGTCAAGAGGAGAGGGAGGAGAGGGGGGTAGCATAAGGGCTCTATTTCATATCATGCTGTATTTGGACTGCAATGTTTGTTTGCATTTCGCTGAATTTCACTCTCACCGGTGGTTAAGTCGCGCAAACATTCGTGAATCGCAAACAAACTCAGTAAGTACAACCAAATTGAATGTTGCAACTAACATCGTCTCACTGAACACCGCATATAATTGTAAATTAAAATGTGGAGGGGATAGATCTGTCTTCCATGCGTTCTCACATACTACCACGCCAAACTATTGTATGAAGGATGCGGGTGAAAATCAAAGATAAAGCAGGGAAAATGGGACATATAGGAGATAGGAGCAAGCCCCGGGGTCTCAAGCAAAAACATAATACAAACTATGTCAACTTGGCTGTACTTTAATTAATGTACAAAACGTTTCAAAGCGTCTTGAACATAAATAATATAAAACTATATCTTGGATAAAGTAACTACTTAAGATGGAAAAAAAAAATAAGAAACGCTAAAATATCATTTCAATTTTGACTTTATCCAGGACATAGTTGATTCACCAATATTTCAAGTTTATTACAGATTAGATTCTGATATTTTTTTCTGCAACTTATATAGGACACAGCAGTAAAATACCGCTATTTCATGCGTGCTTGTGTGCAAACTAAATTTATTTACAATTTTTGCACATATAGTGCAGCAAAGGCTACTATTCTGATATGATTTGTGAAAAAAAAAGTTCAGTTAATATGAATGTTCATTATTAGTTTATGGATATTAAAATAAATTAAACCTAGTTAGTTATTACATGATCTAGGAGGTATTTGTTAACATTGCAATGGAAAGTGAAATTCAACGAAAAACAAACAAATGATGAAAGTTGGCCCTATTTTAATTATCAATTCCTTTTTAAAAAGTTAGGGCACAATGATTTATCAAATTATAAGAAAAAAGTTCTATTTGAACAAAAAATTATGAAAATTGAACCTAGCCTAACCATTTGAGAATACTTGAAAAAATCATTACCACATTTTGACATAAATTCTAGAATAGTATGCAAGGATTTAAGATATTCTACTTAAAAAATGTAGTTATTTGCCAACTATTATTGCAAATAAATCCCTAATTTCGACATCAAGATTAGACGAAAACTTCCGAAATTGACAAAAAGGAGATGAAAAAAAAAAATCAAACAAATTTATTGCGATTTAGGAAGGGTTTGAACGATATAGGAAACCGTTTCGATATCAAAGACTATGAATGAATATTTTGTACTTGTAATTTTTTCTTTTAAAAAAATACGTTTTTTTTTTTTCAAAAGCAAAAATTTTTTACAAATACAAGATGTATTAATAAAATTGGATTTCCCTATTAAAAGCATGATATGTTAGCTGTATAACATGTATTAGTGCTATTGAAAGCAAAATGCAATTTTAGTAAATTCAAACTTCTGTGAATGCAATAAAAAACCAACACCGTGTTAAAATATGATGTGCAAATATTATTTTCTTGACCCCATGCTGAGTTCGCGAAATCTAATACTAAACGTGGGTTTCCATTACTTATATCTTTTAAAAATATCGCGAATTAAAAAACATTATTTCATACAGTTTTAGTAGTAGAAGCCCACGTTTAAAAACATAGTCAAAAGTTTAGTGTTAAATACACTAAACCTTTAATCACCCAAACAAGTTAATTGTTAATCTTATAATATTGTTCTCATTATCTTTTTTAATTAACTTCAAATGAAAACAATACATAAAATTTGTCAATTTCTAGCAAATATACAACCAAATTAAGCAATATCATTTTTCTAAAATAGTACAATTTGTGAAATTTAAAAAATGTTATTGCTACAATTATTTGTATGAGAAAAACATTATTGCATCACATCTGGATATTACATGAAAAGTAAATCACTTTTCTCTTATACAATAATAAAATTGAGTTAAATTTAATGTGTCATTAATAAAATACTATGCACGCATTATCCAGATAAGACTGTATATACTAGAGGAAATCTTACAAATGCGTCCGTTGGCGACCATTTTGCGATAAATTAACTTTTTAATACAAATATTTAACTTTCCTTTAAAAAAACAAATGCAACGAACAACCGCCATTTTAATCGCTTTAGACATCACAAAATGGCCGTCACGTCGCCATCTTGTTTATAATACGTACTTTATTTGTCAATGAATGCGGGTACATACCTGGTCCTGCTGGTACGCGGGCGGGTACTGCTGGTACGTGGAGTATTCGGAGGAGGACTTGTTGAGCGCGGCGGAGGAGAGCGCGCCGGTGAGCGCGGGCGCCGCGCCGCCGCCGCCGCCGCCCGCGCCGCGCCCGTACATCTCCCCGCTCTCCGACAGCGGCACGTACGACCCTGCGGCGTTAACACATACATACAGACTCTGCTTTTATCTACACTATTACAATAAAGCGAAAACACACACTTTGTTGGCTAAGATGCCAGCAATTACATCACGTTTTAGGCTATATATTTTCACGCCATTAAACTTAGGGGGTAAATATTTTGAATAAAAACCCCTAATGTGGGAAAGAGACCATAAGTTGCTGCCAACATCAAGGAAGCAAGATTGTCAATGTTTGTCATGTCATGTCATTTTGACATTTGCTATTGATAATTTGACAAATGTAAACAATAAAAAAAAGACACGTACAAGTCCAGAATGCTCGATTTAACCTCAAAAAAAAACGCACTTTTCATAAAATACTGCACGCTCATACCGAGCCGGTCACCCTTACTTAAGAAAATTTTGGTAACCGATCCGTAACTCTTGTAAATATTAGGAGTGTCAATAATAAAGTCAGATAAAATTTATACAGACGCTGTACTTTTTTTTAAAAGAAAAATCAAAATAAAACAATAGTTTGTCCTAGATTATTCTAGAATAACTTGTTGCAAACCCCATGAACTCAACAATCCACAGGAAGAGAGAGCATTATTAAGTCTGCAATACTTTACCACAAACATCTGAACGTACCGACAACAAATGTAGTTGAGGGCACTGCCTGGATGTGGACACACACATATTTAAAAAAAAATAGTTCACCAAATTCTATCGCTATTAGTATTATTACACGTGAAATGTGAAGTTAATGTATGAAAAAGTGATTTAGTAAAAACACATTAATCTCACGATTAAAAGTATGACTTTTGTTCTGAAAAATGCATAATTTTGTAATTATTACCAACAACGTATCGCCAACTTTTAGACTATTAAACCAGAAAACATTTTCGTAACTAAAAAATCCGCAAACTACAAAAGATAACTAACAAACTACAATTCGTTTGATAACCGCAAACATAAAACCGCGAATACATATCTAAAATGAATGGCCGAATATAAAGATCGTCACTTTTTTATTATAGTTTTTACGTCGAGTGAGGTATGGGTTATGTGGTTAGGTGACAGTGGACTCACCGGAGCCGGTTGAGTTGGAGTTCTGCGGCATGTTCCAAGTGGTCCACGAGCCGCCGGCCGACGCGCCCGCCGGCGCTGAACTGTAGTTCGCTGCACAC